TTGCGTGTTATCATAATCGTCTCTAAGAAAATATTGACTATGTTCTTATATATACAAATTTGAAATCACTGAAATTGTTGATTTTTTTATAATTCGAAAATTGAAACGTTAAAATTTTAATGTAATATCACATAAATTGAGACATCATTTGTAATTCATATCCTGGAACTGCCATATCAAAGAATTAGAGCTTGATTATGAAAAAATGATAAAGAATATCGGTTAAAAAAAACAAAATCTACCTGTATATTATATTATCATAAATGAAACGAAATGAGGATCAAAGTAGTTGGTTTAACGAGTAAAGGAAATAAATGAAATGATATATCATTAAATTAGAGGTTTAAAAATATAATAGAACTCAGTATATGTACAGTATTTGAAAAACATGTTTATAATTTGTATGGAAAAATAAATAATTGATATAAAAGGGGTTATTTTTTATGATAAATGTATATAATACATTGTTTAATTACACGTGCTTAAATGCTTTTTCTCGTTACGGTTGATCGTTCGCATTTCTCTCTTTTTTTTATATATATATTTTTTAAATTTATAGTTCATCTTTGTGCATACATTAACTTTTTGTTTATTTCTTTTTTTCTTTTTATTTTTTTTTTATTTTATTTTTTTTCACGTTACCACGAAAATTTGGCTTGCACGTTGAAAATGGACCCTCCGATTTTATCTCTCTCATCCTTCGTACTTCTTTATCTCTTTTTTCATAATTGTGTGTTTACTACTCGCGTAAGATAGATAATTAATTATTTAGGAAAAAAAAAACTACTATATAAAAATTCAAAGAATTTCCATTGTAAATCGTTTCATATAAAAAATATTGTAAATGTCCATTAAAATAGAAATATATAAATTTTTATAAAAATAAAAAAAGTGGACTAAAAGGACTATTAGATTTATCAAATGGTAAAATATATAAGAAGTATTTCGAAAAAAATATATATCAAATATTCCGTTCCATTTAAAATTCTCGATACTTGACGAAAGTTTATGACAAACAAATTTTCATCCTCCGAAAAAGGGAATCAATCATTCGAATTTGTTTTATCTAATCGAATCTAATCGTTCCAGCTGATCGTATTAATTTATCATTGTTAATAAAAATATTTGAAGCTTTTCCTCATTCGTTCGATTGACTGTTATTATTTTCATCGTTGTTTTGTGGCATCGGTGGCGGCGATGGTATATTTTGTATCATTTGTTGATGCTGCGGATGCATGTGTTCGTGTTGCTGTTGATGTTGAGTACGATGAACTTCTAAAGCCAATAATTTCTGTCTTTTTTCTTCCATCAATCTTTCACGATGTTTGTGAATGTAATCGTAAACGTTTGGTAATCCCATAATAACGCATACGGACAAAGCTGATCGATAAATGTTCATATCGGTTGCTTCATACCTGAAATATAATAAATTACGTTAATAAAAATACGAAAAAAAAAAAAAAATATAAATATTATTAAAATAAACGTTAAAATATATATGATCGTATTACCACTCGTTGGTTTTTTCGTCGTAACATTCAACTTGATAAATGGTAGTTACACCATTGTATCCACCAATTGCAAAGATCATGTCATCGATAACTTCGATAGCAAAATTACTACGAGGATTGTACATATCTGGTATAGGACTCCATACGTTGGTAACGGGATTATATCTTTCACCACTAAACATTCTCGATATCCCATTGAAACCTCCTATAAATATAGGAGTGACAAATATTAATATATTATTTAATAGTGATCTGTGTGTTTAAATTAACAATGAATTATAAATTGGATATACCAATAACATAAATATAGCCATGATAAGCTATACAGGATACTCCACTTCTACGAGATCTCATTGGAGCGATCATCGTCCATTGATTAGTTTCTGGATCATAAACTTCAGCCGAATTGATGCAATCGCTTCCATTGAAACCACCGGTTATATAAATTTTATCTATATCAAGTCGATAACAAAACATTCATTAGCAATTATTATAAATAATTGTTTATTATAAATGTATAGCTTATAATAATACCGTTCAATGTAGTTGCACTGGCGTCGGATCTTTGAACGTTCATTGGTGCAATTAAAGACCATTGATTGGTACGATAATTATATCGTTCAGCGGTATTTTGTCTATGGTAACCATCGAATCCTCCCATAGCATAAACCAAATCATTTAATACAGCAACGCTGACATAACATCTGCGGATCGGGGAATTAAATGAATTTGACAGGAGCTATTATCGCTGAGGTATTCAATTCAAATGCGGGGGGCTAGTCACTCGACTCGAATCACAAATCTTTAAAAGGAAAACAAAAAGAATGAAAGAGATAGAGAGAGAGAGAGAGAGAGAGAGAGGAGTAGGAGGAAAAAGAAAGAAAGATCAAAAGCAGACGAATTTATCAAATGATGATTGATGAAACGTGACTAGCTCCCCCTGAAATATAGTCGACCTTCTGGCATTCATCGGCGCAACTTCTCGCCAAACTTTGGTCACTGCATTGAAACAACGACAACTATTGAAATAATCGAAACCATTGAAACCACCTATCACGTAGATATTGAAACCGACAACTGCAGTTCCGTGATAAGCTCGTGGACCGCTTGGATCAACCTCCTCGACCTTGGGATATATTTTGTAATATAATAATTTAATTATTTATTATATATATATACAATAATTAGATTATAATATCAAAAGAAAAACTATATATATGTAATTATTGCAATAATAATAATAATAATAATAAGTTATTTAATTTACTTACATATTAATAGAACAAAAAGAAAAGAAAAGAAAAGAAAAAAAACCAAGAAAACGAATACCTTGACCCAACGATCAGCTCTGGTGTCATAAGTTTCGATAAAATTCGTTGCATTACCCCCACTCCATCCCCCTATCGCGAATAAAATTTCATGAGGTACTCTAGGACGTGCTATTTCCGGTGTCGGTATTTCACCGTCCTTTTGCGTGATCATTTCCAAATCGTATAAAAATTTGAGCGTTTCTATGATAATTGGTCGACAAGCTTCGTTTCCGACAACGTAAATATGATCCTTAACGTTTTCCAAAAAGAATTGTGTATTTAGAAGGCCCAAACGTATATTTTGCATCAATTCGACTATGTGACCCTTTCTACCATCTGGATCATGATTGATCCATTTAAGAACTAATTCCCAAACTGTTTCCTCGCTTTTGACATTGAGTTCATCGGCACCGATCAATTTCGATAATTCGTTTATCGGCAAATCAAGTATCTCATTGCTTTTCTGAGCTACCTAAGTCGAAGATAAATGTTTAGAAAACATATCAATATTTTTCACAACGATCATATATAATTACCTGAACGAAATGTCTCATCACGTAACGATAAGCATCATTTTCCAATCCCTTGCAAAAATGTTCCCTAGCGAATCTGACGATGCCGATACAATTTTCCGGTTGTAAATTTTGTCGTAAATATTCGCAACAAAGTTCTAATACACCTAGTATACTAAGATAATCGGCTGTTACCAATAATTGACAAACGTTATCGCGATTAACGTCGAGTGAACGCAAATACGCGTATTCCAATAATAAATTCATCATCTCGCTAGTAACTCCTGGCAACAGGACATCGGTTTTTTCACGCGAATGTAATGTAGTTGTAAATAATGCTCTGCAATAATATTAATTATAAATTCGCTAATCCTAATCTTCGTATTATATATGTATAGTTTTTGGGACGAATTTAAATGACAACTACCATTGTCCAGTTCTGACCTGAAGTACGTACTGCACGCTGACAATATCGCACGATGTATCGGAAATATTCCGCCATCCTCTAATCTCAATACCGCATCGCATAATAAATTGTTTTGACGAAAATCGTATAGAGATTGCATCGCTTGAGTACTCATACATCTACCACCACTTTCGGCAATCAATCGTTGAGTAGTAGTCGCATTAGATTCCTCATTGGTGTCATTGCTATCGCTCATCTCCACGTCCATATCAAATATTTTTAATTAGTATCAATAAATCGGAAAGAGTCCTCGATTAGATAATTCAACGGTGATTTATTTTATTAAATGTTGACTTTGATCTTAATGATTCTATACATAAGTTTTAAAAAAGTATGATATAATATAATATTATAAAATTGTATCGATTACGCGTATTTTAACTTTGTTCTCGAAATATAAAAATTAATATAAATTATCTATAAACTTACTTCATCGAGAATACGATTAATATGTTATTCTTGTGAGAGGTTAGAAACTTGAAATTTGAATTTTCCTTGGCTCGTATATTTAAAACTTATCAATTTTGTGATAAGTAAATGCGATTATTGTTATAAATAATGACTATGGATTAAATGATTGGTTACGGTTAAGGTAAGATTTGTGTTTTCAATGAAACGAATTCATACGGTCGACAATTTTCTCTATGTTAAAATATATATATTTTTGTTGTTGACACACGTGGACGGACGGACGAGAAGACCGGTCACAATGTTGACAGATAAAATTGAAGGGGTTAAACTTGATGAGGGGGTGTAGTTGTGTATTGGAGGTGTATGGGTACGGTTTGTCAAATGGATACAAACTATTTAGTATGTTTTCAAAAGCGAATAAATGTCGGCTCTGGCTATGACATAGGTCTTACATGTCCGCCGCTTAGTCAAGGACTGTCACTTGACAAATGAGAAACCATATTTACTGAAAAGTTTTACGCAGTTCCTAGAAGGCCTCGCGTTTATAAAATGACGTTTGAATATATTTAATGTTAACATTTGAAATTGATAACATCGACGATTAATTTATTGTATATATATGATTAAACACATATCAATAATATAAAATTAAAATTTATTATTAT